GACTTGACGCGGGCACGTCAAGAGGATCGAAACCCTTTTTACTAAGCATCAGGAAATTGCAATGTGCCACGCGCCCAGTTGACACGGGTGCGTCATGTCAGAGGGATGCCTATGAATCATCAAAAATGAAAATTAAACCAAAAAATCAGTCAAATCCAAGGAAAAATATATTTAAAATATCAAACAAAATCGAAAAAATAACTAAGAAAAATTGGGTTGCCTCCTAATGATCGTCTTTCTTTAATGTCTTTGGCTAGACATGGTAAGGTGGCATTAATTGGCACACGGCGGTGCATCTAGACTTATCGTCTCTACTTTTCTACTTGAAAAACCTTCGTGATAATACTTGAGACGATGTCCATTCACCACAAACTTATTGTTGGTTTTAGCATTCTGAATTTCAATTGTACCATATGGAAAGACGTGAGTAATAATAAAAGGTTCAATCCAACGGGAACGTAGCTTACCTGGGAAGAATTTGAGTCTGGATTGGTACAGGAGAACTTTCTGACTAAGTTCAAAGGTTTTTTCTAGAGATTTGCTGGTCATGAAATGCTCGGCTCCTCTCCTTGTAAATCAATGCATTCTCGTACGTTTCGTTCCGGATCTCCTCCAATTCCTGCAAATCCAATTTCCGTTGGGTACCAGCCTCCTCTAGGTTCATATTACATTGTTTAATCGCCCAAAAAGCTTTGTGCTCGAACTCCACTGATAGGTGACACGGCTTTCCAAATACCAATCTATAGGGTGACATCCCTATGGGGGTTTTGTACGCCGTTCGATAGGTCCAAAGTGCATCTTCCAACCTTTGACTGCAATCTTTCCTATCGGGGCGCACCATTTTCTCCAAAATAGATTTAATTTCTCGATTCGATACCTCCGCTTGACCATTGGTCAGCGGGTGGTACGATGTTGAGATCCTGTGGAATACACCGTACTTGCGAAACAGCGCGGCTATGGTTTTGTTGCAGAAATACGTCCCCCTGTCACTAACAATAACTCTCGGCATTCCACAACCCACAAAAATATTAGACTTGATAAAATCTGCAACCACTTTCGAATCATTAGTCCGGGTAACCTTAACCTCCACCCATTTAGACACATAATCAACTGCCAGCAATATATGTATAAAATAAAATGAAGTAGGAAAAGGCTCCATGAAATCTATATCTCAGACATCAAAAATTTCGACAAAAATCAACGGGACTTGGGGCATCTGATCTCTACGAGCTACATTACCTACCCTTTGACAGCGATCACACGACTTACAAAACACATAAGCATCCTTAAACAATGAAGGCCAATAAAATCCACTTTCCAATACCTTATGAGCAGTTTTCTTGGGTCCAAAATGACCTCCACAGGCAAAAGTATGACAAAAAGTTAGAATTAGTTGAAATTAAGCTTCACTTACACATCGCCTCATCACTTGATCAGCACACCTCTTCCACAAATATGGGTCATTTTAGATAAAGTACTTGGCATCGCTCTTCAATTTATCCCTCTTCGATTTTGGCAAACTTGCAGGAAAATTACTTGTTACTAGACAATTGACTAAATCGACATACCAAGGCAATTGAGAATTTAGAGAAAATAAATGGTCTTCAGAGAATGCATCCTCCAACGGCTCGTTCTCCTTTCCAACAGGTATACGACTCAAATAGTCGGCTACTAAATTCTCCGAGCCTCTCTTATCTCTTATCTCCAGATCAAATTCTTGCAGAAACAAGATCCACCTTATGAGCCTCGACTTTGCATCTTTCTTGGTTATTAGGTACCTTAGAGCTGCATGATCAGGAAATACAATAACTTTAGCACCCAATAAATATGACCTAAACTTTTCCAAGGCGAAAATAACAGCAAGAAGCTTCTTCTCAGTGGTGGAGTAATTCAATTGGGCCCCATTTAAAACTCGAGATGCATAGTAAATGACGTGAGCTGTCTTTCCTACTCTTTGCCCGAATACAGCTCCTACAGCATGATCACTGGCATCGCATATGATCTCAAATGACAAACTTCAGTCAGGAGGTTGAATGATCGGTGGCGAGGTCAATAGCTCCTTTAACTTGTCGAAGGCTCTCTCACACTTGTCATCGAATTCAAAAGCCACATCTTTTTGTAAAAGCTGGAATAACGGGGCTCCCATTTTCAAAAAATCCTTGATGAACCTTTGATAAAAACCTGCATGTCCAAGAAAAGAGCGCACCTCCCGCACACTAGCGAGGTAAGGTAAAGCAGATATAATATCTATTTTCGCCCTGTCAACCTCGATACCTTTAGAAGACACAATATGACCCAGAACTATCCCATGTTCAACCATAAAATGACATTTCTCCCAATTAAGCACGAGATTAGTCTCTATACATCTCAACAAGATCAATCTCAGGTTATCTAGACATGTATCAAAACTATCACCATACACACTGAAATCGTCCATGAAAACCTCAATTATTTTCTCAACATATTCAGAAAAAATGCTTACCATACATCTCTGGAAAGTTGCAGGTGCATTGTACAACCTGAATGGCATCCGTCTATATGCAAAGGTCCTGAACGGGCACGTGAAAGTCATCTTCTCTTGACTCTTTGGTGCAATTGCTATTTGAAAATACCCTGAAAATCCATCCAAAAAGCAATAGTAAGTCCTATAAGCTAAACGTTCAACCATTTGGTCAATGAAAGGGAGAGGAAAATGGTCATTTTTTGTGATAGCGTTTAGCCTACGGTAGTCAATACACTGCCTCCATCCAGTGGGTTTGCGCACTGGTACGAGCTCACCCGTTTGGTTAGCCTCCACTGTCATTCCTGCCTTTTTTGGAACTATCTGGACCAGCCTCACCCATGGGCTATCCGATATCACGAAAATGATTCCCACATCGAGCAACTTCAGAATTTCTTTCTTCACCACTTCCATCATGAGGGGGTTAAACCTCCTTTGGCCTTGCCGTATAGGTTTGGCATTCTCTTTCAACCTAATCCGGTGTATGCAGATGGAGGGGCTGATCCCCTTGATATCGGTGATAGTCCACCCTATCGCCTCTTTATACTCTTTAAGGACCCGAATTAGTTTCTTCTCTTGGGTCTCCGAGAGTGCAGTTGATATAATCACCGGGAGTGTTTCGTTGTCGCCCAGATACGCATATTTCAAGTGCTTCAGCAAAGATTTCAACTCCAACACAGGGGCCTGCACCACAGATGGCAGTCCCCTCTAGTGAGGTTCGGGAATGAAAATTGGAGAGACTTCATACATTTTTGTTGTGGTTGGCAATGAGTGTAGTGCCCCTATTGTGCATTTCAAGTCTTCACTCCACTCTACCTCAGGAGTTGTCTCCAACTCAAGGTGCTTGATTAAAGCTATTTCCAACTCATCCTTACCAACAGTTTCAAACACTTCCTGCACCGCAGGGTCAATAGCACTTACAGAAAAAACAGAGCTAAAGTTAGAGTTTGATGGGTATTTCATCGTATCAAAAATACTAAAATGCACAATTTTTCCATCAAATTCCATGAATAGGGTGCCCTTATTAACATCAATTTTTGTCTGCACTGTACTCAAGAAGGGTCTACCTAATAGTAAAGGTGAGGGATCGGGGGAGTGATCATCATTCATATCAAGTACATAAAAGTCAGTTGGGAATACCAAATCATTAATTTTTACCAATATATCTTCAACTAACCCATCAAGATATGCATTTGTTCGGTCAGCTAATTGAATGATTATTCCAGTTTCTTTTAATGGACCTAGTTTTAGAGAAGCATAGATAGATTTGGGTATGACATTAATTGATGCTCCCAGATTCAACATGGCCTTCCTAATCAAAGTGTTGCCTATCTTACATGGGATAGTAAACATACCTGGGTCTCCATACTTTGGTGGGAGTTTTTTCTGCAAGACCACGGGCACGTTCTCCCCCACAATGACCCTTTCATCCCCCCTCAACCGCCTTCGGTTGACACACAAGTCCCTTAGAAACTTGGCATATTTCGGCACTTGTTTGATTGCGTCTAAGAGGGGGATATTAATCTCTACCTTGCAGAACACCTCTAGAATTTCCTTCTCCTTATCTTACTTTTTCGATTTTTCCAACCTGGTAGGAAAGGGAGGCGGGTTAGTTTTTACTACAATGATTGGGTCTGGAAGTACCTCTGGATTTGTACTATTGTTGTCCTCCCTCTCAAACTCATTTTCGATCTTTTCCTCATCCTTGTCCTTAGGGATCACAGGCTCAGGCCCCTGAATCTCCTTTCCGCTCCTTAGGGTCATCACGCTTACATTTTTCGGGTTCAATTTAGGTTGAGATGGCAATTTACCTTGGACTTGGGACTCCAAACGGTTGATTGTTGTGGCCATTTGACTCATCTGATTTCTTATGTTCTGCATTTTGGAGTCCGTCCTTTGCTTATATTGCGCGGTGGTTGCTATCAATTGTTTCATCATCTCCTCCAAAGATGGACTAGAGCTCGGGGGCGGAGGTGGTCGGGGTTGGTATTGCTGCTGATACCCTTGTTGTCTATTTGGCACGAAATTAGACTGTCTGTTCTCTCCATAGTTGAGGTTGGGGTAATCCCTCCAACCGGGGTTGTAGGTACTTGAATATGGGTCATAGGGCTTCCTTGGCGCGAGCGCGTGTCCTGCCATGTTCATTTGCTCTGCACTTTTCTCTTGAATCATTGGGCACATCTCTGTAGAATGACCCATGTCAGTGCAAATTCCGCATATCATGGTATGAGATGCATTTCCTACAGCCAGTTGCCTAACAAAAGAAGTCAACTCAGTCAACTGTTGCTGGATAGAGGATGTTTCTACCTCGTTCACTTTGCGTATCGAGACATCCTCCCTCGTACCAAACTATTGCGAGTTCTCAACCATTCCTTCTATTAGCTCCCACGCTGCTCGAGGGGTCTTGTTCACCAGTGCCCCTCCACTCGCAGTATCAATTATGCTCCTGTCTCTGAAAAGTAGCCCCTCGTAAAAATATTGTATGAGCAACTACTCACTTATTTGATGCTGGGGACACTTGATGCACAATTTCAAAAACGCTCTCAGTAATCATAGAGCGATTCTTCTGGATGCTGCTTGATACTGCAAATTTCTTTTCTTAGACTTGCAGCTCTGAAAGCAGGAAAATACTTATCTAAGAACTTTTTCTTTAGCTGGTCTCACGTGGTGATACTACCGGTAGTAGGTAGTACAGCTAGTCCTTTGCAGAGTTCTTCAAGGAAAAGGGGAATGCCCTCATTTTTATTTGCTCTTCTGTGATTTTCAGGGGTTTCATACTGTTGCACATGACATCAAATTCCTGCAAATACTTATAAAGCTCCTCACCTGGTAACCCATGAAAAGATGACAAAAGATGAATTAGCCCAGATTTTAATTCAAATAGAGTGTTATCACTCAAACTTGGAAAAGTAATGCATAAAGGTTGCTGAATTAAATCAGGAGCAGCCAACTCCCTTAATATCTGGGCATTAGCCATGGGGACTTCTTCTTGCTCCGAGTCACTCGAAGTGTCACCAAACGAATCTGTTGATTCAACTTCTGGCTTAGGTATCTGATATGCAATACTTGAATGCTCTTCTCTGAGTTGTCTGGTCTCTTTTCTTGTTCTACGCGCGGTCTTCTCTACCTCAAGGTCAAAAATTAATTCACCTGTACGAGAAGAATGAGGCATACACTCGAACAGCACTAGAAAATTAGAACAAAAATAAATTTAAAAAGAAATAAATATTAACGCCAGAACTCGGCAACGACGCCAAATATTGACAGGTTGTCGGCCTATGCAATAATAAAATCTGCTCAAACTAAAAGTAATTTCTGTAGATAGCGGTGAGTAGGGTCAAATCCACAGGGATTGGGAGTAATTGTTTCTTTTCAAATTCATAGTGACAAGGGGGTGTTTTTATATCAGGGGTGACAATTTAAGCAATTCAATTAAAAGTAAAATAATAAAAATAAAATAGCCAACTAGAAATTAAATAACAATTTACTAAAATCAAATGAGTGATAATTAAGGATCTAACTAAGGAATAATTTCAGCAATGGTTCACCTAATTGATCATTGAAACAAAGGCAATTCTAATTATTTACTAATAAATAGGTTATAACTGCCAAACAAGCGATGACAGTCAACCCCTCCTTACTGTGTCGGTAATTAAGATACACCCGTTAATCACTACTCTAATTGAGAAATAATCCTAAGTACGCCCGCAAGATTTAATTCCCCAATTATCTTACGTATTAGAGGAGCCCTATTCTAACCAAATAACACACGACCAGGGTTAGATTAACCCGCGTATTCTCCTGACACAAACCCAATCATGCTAGTTATCACTATTTTGAGAATTAAACAATTACGGATTTAACGTCTTAATTGACAATAAATTATCAAATTAACTAATTATCCGAATCCAAAATAATCAATTAATTAAATAACCATAAGTACTGTAATCAAAGAATATGTAAATACCAATAAATAAAAGAAAAAGATAAAATTAAATCGATTTCACAATCTTTAGACAAATCAAAACTTCCGTTGTTCCTTGATTAGACAAAGGGATTTAGCTCATCCCTTGTCTACTCCTACCGAAAAGAAAAGAAAAGCAACTAAAGATGAAAGGAAAAGTCAAAGGCTAAGCTCTCCCCCCTGACATGCATTGGAAGTAAAAGCTCTAAGAAGAAACCAAAAGGGCAAAGTTCCAAAAGCTAAAGTAGTCCTAATCCTCTGCAACTCCCTATCCTATCAAAAGTCCTACTCTACTTATTTATTGTGCGGCGGCTTCAATGCCTCCCGAAAACTTCGGCCTTTTTAGTTTTTTTTCCTTTCTTGCTGTCTTCGGCCAAATTACCAAAATGGGCTCACATCTCCTCGTTTCAAAAATGTCCCTGAATGCCTTCTATTTGAATTCTTTCCCGATGACTGTCAAATTGGTGTTCGTTGTGGTATTTTCATTCTACTCTCTGAAATAAATGCAAATTACAAAAAGTGAGTAGAATCTAATAATTAATTCACATCGGGTTAGGTAATATAGGAAATTAATAATAAAATAAATGATAAAATTGCAACCTATCAAACAGATAAGCGACGTGACAGAACAGAAAAATAAAGTCCACGATAACCTTAAATTGGGGAAAACTGTCAAAATATTTGGTAAATCACAAAGCTAACACTAAATTGGGCCATCTGCTCGAGTATCGTATCGTCAGCAAACAGTAGGACTGGTACTTTTGGTCCTTCAAAATGACTTTCAATTCTAAAGATGCAATTGTTGGAGAAGAACAGAGAGAACATATATTGACTACAAAACACCAAGCAGGTGAAGTAAATTCCAGATTAAAGGCTAATGGAAGCACGAAGAACTACCTGAACGAATGGCTTTCATTACAATTTTCACAACAAAGCACAAGAATTAGACACGAACAAACCACTTTGGCTGTGCCAGTTTAGCATCAAATTATATTTATTCTTTTACCATTTCAGATCTTATATCAAATGGCACAAGACAAAAATTTTGACAGCATTGAGCATCAACTTCTTATATAGACAATGACTATCAGGCTATCTTCCAGATAACTTTCCTTTCCACTGACCGGCAAAAGATGAGAGAGAGTGAATAAGTAGATGCTGCACAAACATCTTTCATAGCCAATCCTAGAAGAGCAGAAGTTACGTGGATAATGCACAACTAGTACCGGCAACTTATAATCAATGATGTAGTTCGCCTTCTGAAGTGTTAGAAAACGACTTGTACAACAAACTAATCAACGCACCAAAGCAGAATCATGGTAGAGGCATCATGGCATCATTAAACGTTAGTTTCACTTTCAAGCATCATTTGTCATAGCCATTTGCTGAGAGGTAGAGACCACTTTTCTGAGCTCACCCGTCCCATTCCAACAAGTATATATTAATGAATACTTCGTCAAGATATTCATCCAGTTGGTAGTATTCCTGCTTTTTGCTCATTTCCATTTTTCTCTAGCTGGCAGTTGATCTATGAGCCAGAAGTTAGGATATTTTTCTCTTCCATCTATTTCATTGTATTTTTTTCCCTTCTTGAAAGAACTTCTCTTCCCACTTTGATCAGCAACTAACAAATACTGGACCTTGAAAATTTCGAAGTGTTGATGCTGCTTATTCTTACAAAAATGCAACAGGATCGCTGCTAGGATAAATCACAACAGATGTGCCCAAGCCAAAGAAATTGATTCTAAGCTAGACTCATATTGATAGATTTGAGCCACCTGTTGAAGATGCAGCTTACCAACTAATTGCAAATGGGACGTCAGAATGCATGCTAAGTCGGATGAAGAACATAGCAACAGCCTAAATACTTAAAATTTTCTGGTACAACATCCTTTCATCTAGTTTGAAATTCCTCCACCCCCAGGAACTTTCAGCATCTTTTCGCTGAATCAGTGATATGGGAGAACAAGAATCCATGAAAAATATCTTCAAGCAAATTATTATTAAAGATTAAGTACACAGAAAATAGTACTTATTAGAACCAGATTCTCATGTTTGCCAAGCTGTCATTAACTATATACACCTATTCTACCCAACAAGGTTGCAAAAGCAAACAGCATTCTTTGCATTAAAAAAAAAAGGAAAAAAGAAAGTCTCAGGGCATTCAGCCATTTACTTCAAGAAAAGAAACCTACTCTGCATTACTTAAGCTGAAATGTATAAAAGAAATAAAAATGTGTACTTGACATTTATGCTTGTGCTCAGCTGGTTTTAAGGATCATACCAATTTGTAGCCAGATTGAAGAGGATTTTAGGAATTAGATAGTTTTGATTTCATAAACACATGACCATTCAAACCAAAGAATTGAAAACCTCCAGAAGTTGGTTTGTGAAATATCAATGATTATATCATTCAACTGATCCAACATATACAATTAGTCCTGTGGGAGTGGATCTAACCTCATGAGTGGAATTCTTCTCTTCTTTGACCCCTTTTCTGAGTAGATCTAATAATAACGCTCTTTAAGTCCTTGTTTCCCCATTCTCTCTGTTCTTGCAGAATTCGCTCCACAGAATTTACAGCAGACTCACTACACCTTTTCACCTCAATCATTTTAAGAGTGAGGCTTTCCCCTAAACAAGGAGGGACCTCTTCCAGCTCCTCACAAAACTCCAAAACCAATTTCTCAAGACAGGAAAAATTATCAGAAGACGCAGTCCACCTACGAATGTACAACCCTGACAATTTCAAAAATCGGAGGTTACGGAATTCCCCTTCTTCCATCTCCCATTCTTCCTCCCGAACGGAACGATGGCATAATTTGAGCACTACAAGGTTGGGCAGATTTCTTCCAATTGCTGAAATTTTTCCCCACGGCCAATAATTATCCGAGAGAGTCAACTTTTTCAAATTCAAATTCAATGAGAATTCAAACTCATCTCCGCTAATCCTGCTTATCTTAAGTGATTCTAGTCGACTCATGTAGTTCAGCAAGGGAATCTCCTTGCGATTTCCACCAGATTCAACTGCTCGGTAACTTTTCCTTTGGATTCCATATGTTATTGTTAGCCTGCGGGTGCTCTGTAACTTTGCCAGTATCTTCTGTGCACTTTGAGAAGAGAGATCGATTGCAAGGCTTAAAGTGTCTAAATGTTTTAAATCAGGGGAGCCTTCAAGATTGTCCATGGGAAATATGAAACCACAGTCGGACAATGATGTGACAAGATACCTCAATGTTTCAATGTTCCAGATAGTGTTTGGCAACATATAATTTCTACGGCGTGCTTCTACTACAAAAGTTTCTAACCTTGAGAGGTTGGCTATTGCAGATGGGATATCCCCAACAAAACGTCCAATTCTCAAGTACCTCAAGTGAATAAGGAATACTACTTCCCTTGGAAAAGATGAAATCCAATAAGGAGTGTTCCAGAAATCCAGCACTCTAAGAAGTTTAGACAGCAGAAATTTGGATGAATTCTTATCCAGCTGTGTATAACTATCACCACAGAAGAGCAAACACCGCAAATTGGGAAAAAACAGCCTTGATTTTGTAAGCCCCATAGTCTTGGTAGGGTGGATAGACAATCGATGGGGCTTGCATGGTCCAGTAAAAGTTAAAAGGTTATCCACACGTAAAATCTGTAGAAAACTTTCTTCTTTAGCTTTCTCCATGCAAAATTCATGTACCAAATCATGGATTCGGCAAGCTTTGATCCCACCTAAAGATCTTTGTTGGGGAGCCATAACTAAACTTCTCCCAATCAGATCCATCAAATATTCATCTGCCACATCCTCTAAACACTTTCCTTCAGTCTTTTGCACGAATCCTTCCGAGATCCAAATCCATAACAACCTTCGAATGGGAATTTCTTTGTCTTCTTGAAATGCACCGAAGTAAAGAAGACATGGCTTCAAATAATTTGGTAAATTATTGTAACTTAGCTCAATTGTCTTCATGCAATATTCATTGTCAACATAAATGCTGGAAGTTAAATGTATTACAACTTCTTCCCAGCAATCTTGCTCGGTAGTAGTAAGAATTCCGGCAACAAGGACAACTGTGAGAGGCAGGCCTTTACAGTATTTTGCTGCATGCAGTAAAACATTGCTTAATATTGGGGGACAATCTTCTTTGGCAAATAGCTTTTTCTGCAGCAATTCGCAGCTCTCATTATCTGTAAGCGGGCGAAGATGGTGAGGCTCGCTATCAAGTTTAATTTGCAATGGCAATTCCTGAAATCTGCTGGTTAAGAGAATCCTGCTTCCATTGCAATCATCTGGCAGTGAGAGTTTCAATAAATCCCACCCCAGAATGTCCCAAACATCATCCAAAACTATGAGATACCTATTTCCCTTCAACAATTTGCGTAGCCTGTCAGCCATATAATCTTCATCTTTCCGAATATATCCAGCTGAGTTCCCATGATCAATATTACACAACATTTGAACTAACAAACTATGCTTGGTATATGCTCGAGAAAAACAACACCAAGAACGAATGTGAAAGTGGGACTTTACCAAAGGATCACCATAAACTTTATTGGCTAATGTTGTCTTACCAAGACCAGGCATACCCACAATGGCAACAATATCCAACCGGCTTGGTCCCCTTACAAGTCCATCAATTATAATTTCCCCCTCGTCATTGAGACCCACCACAGCTTCATTAGATATTGGAGCAGTAACTTGTGATGGCATGGGAATGGTAGTCTTAACAATACTCTGGGTTTCATAGTCAAATCGTATGCTATCATAAATCTTTTTGGCCTCAATCTTCATAAGCTTGACATCTCCAGCAATAACATCCAAACAATGTTGATGTTTTCCACCAGGTAGTGTAGAGTCAATGATTATCTCTGCCCTGTATGCCAGCTCAATAATACGACTCCACAGAGCTTGGAGTTTTTCATTCCGCTTTCACTGCTCTGCAATCTTGCCTAGGAAAGGTCTTAAGAAATCAAGATCTTCACGAACTGTGTGGATTTGATTATTTGGGAAAGCAATTGAATTAGCTGTAGAATTTTCCAGTTCCTTGAGAGTTTCTAAAAGAAAATCAATAGAGCCCAGCTCATTAGTCCTAGGGAAACTAATTGATGATGATGGTGGTTGTAGTGGACAAATCTGTTCAATTTCTGGAATAATGAGCTTGAGCAGTTCGAGCGAATGAGAAGCCACAAGATCTATTTCCTTGGGCAAGCTTTCTGTCATTTCACTCTTATAAAGGGAGAAAATCACAATTCCAGCATCACAGACCACAAATCCAATAAGATCCTTCATTTCATCATTTAGCTCATCGAACTTCTCGTGCTGCTGGCTGAGAAGGACACTCAGGAATCTTGCTCCCTCATAGAGTTTTAGTAATTGATCCTTCACCGGAAGCAAGAAACTGGTGTAAGATTCTGTTAGCTCCATAATAATATGTAAAAGATGATCAATAAATTCGGCCACTAGGTGCTTATTCTTCTCCAGGGCTAAAGTGTGTGATGATGGTGACAACTTGGAAGCTGTCAAGACGTGGATATAAGTTTCTCGGACTTGGAGATCAACGGGATCAATCTTCTTTTGTATCAGTTGAGAAATTTCAGATTCCATCTCATTGCACACCCGTTCATCATTTCTCTGAAACCAAGATGTAGAGATCAGGCTTGCAGCATTAATGGCCACAACTTCAATGTGAACTAACAGATCTACTAATTGCTGACCCTTAACACCTTGTAGTGTTGCAAAGCAAATGAAACTCTTCAAGAACATTAGCTTCTCTTGAAGGGTTCCCATTACACTTTGCAGAGCTCCATCATCCCTGTAATTTCTGGTGCAAAGACGCCTCAGATTCTCTAAAATGGAATCAGTGATATCCATAACCAGTTGCAAATCTCCGAGCAAGTAGTGAAGCAATAAACTACAGATGTTGGATTCCTTGATGTCTGAATCAAAAATCAACCGCATATTTTCCTCGAATCTGCCGAGCTTGCGTTTGAAGTCATCAAGCGATCTACGTCTACCACGAACAAAGCCAAGTTCATGCTTTATTCCACTAACCAGATCTTGAATCCTGAAGGAGATACTGCTGAGCCTCAAACTGTCAGACTCAGCATCACCCCTGTCCTCCTTATCATATTCCAAACACGTATACTCTTTGCTCCTCTTCCTCCTAAACTTTCTAATATACAGATCAAAGGTTTCCAATAGACTTATCCCCATCTTCAGCTCCCAGATATGAGATTCGAACAGGCCTTTGTACCCACTGTTGAAGTAGTCCAGATGATTACGAGCAACATCGAAGCAACTAGTGCTACTGCTGAAGGAGATGTTCATCATGGTACCTGCTTTTCACTCAGAAATGAGATTTCTGCCTATTGTAGCCATTGATATTCAAGATCAACAACTTTCTTATTATCTAACAATATTCACAGTTTGCCGTCAGGACTCTATCTCTCTTTTTTTTTTTCATTTTTTCTTTTTTGCGTGTGGCAGGGTGGTGCTAAAATATTGCAAGACTTTACCCTCTTCCTCTTGAGTCTTTGTCAAGGGAAGCTCGCATCGATACAACAGGCATAAGCTGTTGGGGTCCCCATATCAAAGATTAAAGCATTAGAGATGCATTCAGCTGAGGCCTGATGGCTTTGTAATTTGCCACAACCTTTTTTAACGCAACAATTTTTTACCACAAAACGTGAAAGGGAAAAAAAATAAATGAAAGAAAATCAATATATAGTATTTTAGTTTCAATCAAATCCGAATATGGCCAGCACTAAAAATGAACAAAATGAGAAATATCAATTAGATTAGCGGTCAAAATAAACAATAGAAAAATCAGAAGAAAATGATCCATGGCTATTGTTTAAGAATGTATAACTAAATGCATTTAAGGATTTTAGAGAAAATTGTTTTTTAATTGCTAATGTATGTGAGTGTTGATGTTTTAATGCTTCTTTTTTTTAATTTGGCAACTTTTCCAAATTTAAAAAGTTGTATAATAAGAATAAATATTTTACTCCTTTTCCCGTGTGAGATAACTTGAGCCTGTAAACCATCTAAATCATTTTTTCTTTTTTGGTTTTCTACATGCACCGAGAAATGGTTTAGTGTTTTTTTACATAACCTTCCTATGATTTTAAAAGCCATGACGCCCTTACAGTTTGGATTAAAGTGTTAAAATAACGGAAATGATCATTATAATGGAATCACCTAAAATACCAAAAATACCCTTATGTAAAGTTAAAATTTATTTATTAACCAAGAGGGTTATATATATTTTTTAAAAATCATAAGAGTGTTATACGGTAAAGTATTAAACTATAAAGGAATTATATAGTAAAATATAAAAATTATATGGGGTTAGTGTGTCATGTATTTATAAGGGTAATTTCGACATTTTTAAAAGTTATGAATGACTATTTCAGTTAGTTTGACACTTTAATTCAAACCATGAGAGAATTATGTATAGTTTTGAAATTATAGAGGGATTATGTTTTTTTTTTTTTTGAATCAGAAACTCTACATACGTGCGATATTATTTTCTCAGTAACAGCTCTTAACCAAAATACATAATCATTACAAAATACTCGAGAAATTTAATTCTGCAAGCACTAGCTTAGTCCTCATACCATAAAACCAAGAAAAAAAAAAGATAAAATTGGAATTTAGTTATAAGAATTTCTAAATTTGGAGATCATATATGCAATCTTGTCTAGTAGTTTAGATGCACTTTCCTCTCCCATTGAGAAAGGATTGGTCCATTCTTGGTAGTGATGGAGGCTGCCTGTAAAGTCCGTGAAAAGCCCGTCAACTCCAATCTTCTTGATCCAGTACTCGTACTCATTATATGGATCTTGACTGAAGTTAAAATGTAAGGACATATTATCATTCTGGAAAATGAATGGGTGCACCTGAAGGTTGTAAGCATGTGATCTTGTAACAAGATCAGTAGGTGTTTGCAGATAATTATTTGAAGCAGGAACTATTGAATCTTTCCAAGGTCCAATGCCCACGACATAATCTTTGATGAAGTCAAAGTAACTGTTGGAAGTGATTTCCCAGTATGACTGATTGGTGTCTTGAGTAGGTGTAGTGGCATCATCAATTAGGAGGATCTTAGGCAGGTCTGTCAGGTGTGAGATGTAAATCAAAGATGTTGGAGCAAAAGACTGAATAAATGCAGGCTGTTTCAACCATTGTTTTGACAAATAAGTTCCCTTGTATCCATACTTCTTCAATGTATCCACAAACTTGTCTTCAAATTTCTTACCAATTGGCCATTTCACATGTTGGTTGATAAATACTGGATTTTTTATCTCTGGATATATCCCCACCACCCTGGGAGCACCCAGTGCAATTGATATGAAATCTTCAAAGATAATAATAGAAAACTTGCCATTGTATTGTTGATCCCTGAAAGGAGATCTCTGGTTGACACGCAATGACTTCAGTTCTTCTAGCGTGAAATCAATGGTAAAATAGCCAGTGATGTTCTTGCCTTGGACCTCATAGGTCCTCTTTCGACTTTCAAACTTCTTGTGCTGAGCAATGTCAGTTGTAGCATCAAGTGTTAAATCATGGAAGCATATAAGAATACCATCTTTGGATGCTAGTATATCAGTTTCTATGAAGTCAGCGTCCTCTTCAATAGCTCTCTTGTATGCAGAGGCAGTCTCCTCAGGAAATTCACCACACGACCCTCGATGTGCGATGTTGTAAGGTCGAAAAGTTTGCAGTGGTTGTTTACTTCTATCATTTCTTCTGCTAGGAAGCGGGTAGAAAGGCCTTGCAGCACACTCAACCAACAATAGCAGCAAAATGGAACTTACAGTACGGACTGACGTCATGAGGATCCCCGTTCCCGTTCCTGTTCCTGTTCCTGTTCCTGTTAGTGCGCCCTGGACGGATTCCTCCTCGTTTGAAATATCCTAACCTATCCTATCCCAATCCTATTCTATCCTAATCCTAATCCTAAAATACATAAAACGCCGAATGATGGCTACAGTTGATTGGGTACGAAATAAAAAATTGAATGTAAATTAAGGGTACTAATCAATGGCAAACTTCAAGGATTCAATTGGTGGCACCAACCATACAAGTCTAGGATTAATGTATTGAGATTTTAGAGGTATTTTTCTTTTTTTTTTTTCTTGGTCATAGAGGAAGGGTGAGATTTACGTAATAGGGAGGGCGAAGAGGGGATTAGAACTCAGGTTTTCAAAATTCTAAATTCTGAAACTTCAACTTTTACCTCTGGATCAAAACATATATAAAAATTAAACTATTGATTTTAAATAGGGCAAATTTCACTTTACCCCCCTGTGGTTTAGCATTTTTTCACATAACCCCCCTATGGTTTCAAAAGCTATATATAACCCCCTTATGGTTTGGATTAAAGTGTCAAAGTAACAGAAATAGTCACTCGTAACGCCGTCACCTAAAATGTCAAAAATACCCTTATGTAAGGTTGAAATTTATGTATTAACCAAGGGGGGTTATGTGTATATTTTGAAAATCATAAGGGGGTTATATGGTAAAATATAAAAATTATAGGGGGTTAATGTGTCATGTATTTATAAGAGTAATTTCGACATTTTTAGAAGTTCCGTTACGAGTGACTATTTCCGTTACTTTGACACTTTAATTCAAACCATGAGGGGGTTATGTATAGCTTTTAAAACTATAGGGGGTTATGTGAAAAAATGCTAAATCACAGGGGGATAAAGTGAAATTTGCCCTTTTAAATAAAACTAATGGTGGGCAACAAAATTTATGAAATCTCTCCCAGAATTTCTTTTTTTCCCCTTTCCGGTGATCCTCGTCCTTGTGGTGCAGCCTGCATCCTTGACTTTTATAAGAGGACACAAATAACAGATTAACAAAACATGCCTGGGGAGACTTCCACAAGACTTTTGGTGTTTAGACGGTCCTGCCACGGAATACCTTTCGGCTGTGTTGGAAATGTGTTAATGGTTTGACGGAGGGATGAATATGGAAGCCGCAAATCTTGCAAAGACTATTCCTTACATGTTGCTCTCTATATTATTGGTAGACTATTCCTTTTAAGATTAATAAGGGGAAAAAACAATTTTTTAAAATTATTTCTAACAAAGGAAAGGTGGGATTTAAAAAGTAACGAAGCAGTGACGACGGATGCAGGATTTTGGTTTAGAAGGAGGGGGGAGGGGAATGATCAAACAACGAGTAACAAAAAATTATCAAAACAAATGATGCACTCTAATAAAAAATTAAAGTCTTAAAACCAAAGTTTAATAGGTGATAACTAAACACTAAATGTTTTTAATATGAAGAGACAACATATAAAGCAAAAGATGAAAATTAGGTCATGGACCAAAATCATATAGACATTAACCCTATAAAAATTAACCCTATAAAATTTTAAGATAAAAATTTTAGAATAAGAACAATTGACACATTAATAATCATCAAAAATAATCTAAATCACAATTTTAAAATGAGTATATGTGTCCAAATAATGAATGGCTATGAATCAAATTATAAAGGAATTGTAAAGGAAAAAAAATTAGACTTGCCTTGAAAAATGGAGTTTTGGGAAGAGCGGATATTTGAAATAAGTTGAACGAATGTGGGAAAAGATCGATGCTTGCTTGTGGGTCTAAGTGTTGCCTTTTGACCAAGACATCAAGTCAATCATGCACATATAAATATAATTCTAAATATGATTAAATTTCTTTTTATTTGTCAATTATTTGTTTCCTTACCTTAACTAATGTAAGGGCATACTAAACACATTAAAGTTATAATAATGAAATTTAATATATATATATATATATATATATATATATATATATATATATATATATGTATGTATATGGATAACAGTTGTAAGATTTTGTGTTTGTTATTGGATGTCTTTCGCCCAATTAAACACTCACTCATTGGTCTCATAGTACATTCTTCCGAATTTTGCCGATAAGTATCTCTTCCTATATAAGTTGAATCACTAGGTTAATAATTATCCTGCCAAACAATATTATTATTTTCCAGACCAAATTAGTTGAGGAGTGAGGACCAAATTTGGACTCTAATACCAATAATACAGTTAATTGTAGAATATATTTTCTTCTACATCTAAGAATTTGCGTCTAATTGTTTAGGTACTATAAGACATCTGCAATTCAACTATTCTTGGTATAGCAAAAAAACAACCTTTTTTTACATAATACTATGGCAAATAACAAGTTTTTACCTAATAATGAGTCTCGGTGGGATTAGTAATAAGAGTCTACGAATATTTATGGCAACTATTCAAGTACAAAGTAGAAATATAGAAGTGATACATGTAAAAAACTAGTAAAGGAGAATGTGTATTGTAAAAGTACTATATATATTATGCCCTTTTTGTTCTTATATATGATTATGCATCGGCAGTTGCATGTAGCACTTTTTATTTCTAGTATAATGTAGTAATATAGAACTGCTTATATAAAAATGCTATTATAGGAGTAACTTTTTTTTTTTCGACATAAAACCATGGCACTTAAAGTTTTACTTAACAACAAGTCCAAGTATAAAGTAGAAATATAGAAGTAAATGATTGACAATCCAACCACAATGTAAATGACAGAATTTAAAGTTTTAAAAGAGACACCAGAATTATGTGGAACTTAAAAACGATGTAGGACTGGGAGGATCTGGAATATCAACAGTTCCTTCGAGCATCAGAAGAACTTTCTTCATGGATGGACGAAGTGCTGGCTCATCTTGGATGCACCAGAGAGCTATCTTCATCATTCTTTCCAGTTTTCTCATGTCAACAACCTCCTGATCACCAACCAATTTATGCAGCTCTCCGGCTTTGAAACACTGGTAAGCCCAATCTTCAAGAACAGCTTGATCCTCAGAAAAGCTCCAGTCTAGACTTTTTCGGCAGCATATGATCTCCAACAGCACAATCCCAAAGCTGTAAACGTCTGCTTTAACTGTCACGGGCATCTTCCTGTACCATTCTGGTGCAACACAGCCTTTTGTTCCTCTAAAAGTTGTGTGAGTTCTTGTTTGATCACGCTTTAATAGCTTTGCAAGCCCAAAATCAGAAATCTTGGGACACCTGTTTTCATCCATGAGTATATTCTGAGGTTTAATGTCGCAATGGATGATTTGTGTCTCACATTCTTCATGTAAGTAAAGAATGCCTCCTGCAATGTCGCGGGCAATTTTAGTTCTTTCGTCCCAACTCGGATGGTTCTCTGGTTTGAGAAGGACATCTGCCAATGATCCATTGCTCATATACTCGTAAACTAGAAGCCTCTTAGCTCCATCAAGGCAGTAGCCGAGCAGCCGGACGAGATTGCGGTGATGTGTTTTCCCAATCACCTTGATTTCATTCTGAAACTCCTTTTCGCCTTCTGCTAATACTTTCTCAAGTTTCTTCACAGCCACAACCTTCTCAGAATCTGGCAAAATCCCTTTATACACAGCCCCAAATGCTCCTCTACCCAACTCTTCTCTGAATTCATTTGTTGCTTGCTCCAATTCAGCAAAAGTAAAGGCCCTTGGAGCCACATTCTCAACAAATTCAACATTTCTGAATTGTGATACCTGCTTATAAGCCCATACCTGATTTCTACGAACATAAACTCCAGCAATTACAGATATCAGAACTCCAAGAACAACAAGGGAAATCCCAATTATTAGAACATAGACACGAACTTCTTCCTTTCTGCATTTTAGAGGATTACTTGGAATTACACCTTCATCTATAGTTGCATGTTTGTGGACCTTGACAAGAGCAATATTCGAGTCAGTTTCTCTTTTTCCATATGTCAATGGGAGCCTCTGCTTCTTGCATTGTCCATCTTTGAAGAATGCTGCTTCGCAGTTGCAATCTTCAAGACAAATCTTTGCACAATCTTCTCTCGTGCCTGTGTTCACCATGGAAAAGGTGTTATCTTCCCATACAGTATTTTCCAAGAATTCAATGGTATGGTTGACATTTGAATCCGTGGAATTACAACTATCTGTAACAAAACTCCTCTCACAGCCCAAGCTCCAATTTCCTTGATTGACAAACTGAAATCCAGGAAGACATTTGCAATCGACCAAGTTATCAATTTTAGTGCAAAAGCCATTGAACCCACAAAGGCCTTTAGGATCACATCTATCAGTTGAGGATTCCCATACGATCGACCAATTGCGCCCCTGATCTACCGAATATGAATACAGTCGGAAAATACCATCCACATCAATCTTCATCAAATAGATCATCTTGTTCTTAGGATGTCCTCCATCAGAAAGATTCTTCACTAAATTAACACTTGAATTGGTCAAGTACAGATGTCCGTCATCCTCGAGATTTAGAGTTACATTTGGACCGTCTCCAAATGTTCCAGATGCCCAATAGGCAGTTTCCGGTTTGTTTGCTGCTCCCACTGGGTATTGTACAAGGTTTCCATCTGTTTGCATTACCAGACGAAAAATTCCTCTTGAATCATCAGTTTCTGAAGCACTGGATATCAGCTCCTGACCGGCTATCAATTGCTGACGAGGCAATAAACTATTAGTCGGATGCTCGAAACTTTGCCATATGATTCTCTTAACAGAATCGTATAATACAAAATTTCCAGAATCCAACATAGAAGCTGATGAAATAGGTTCAGAAGGATCAACAACTGTTATGTCTTGGCCTTCTGGCAGCTGCAAAATGAGCCTGCCATCTGTAGACAAAATCACCGAAACATTGCTCGAAAAAATGGGGTTATCCCTGTTGGCAGTCCAAACTGCAGTCTTTTCAGGAATTCCAGCAAGAAAAATCCCCACAGCATGGGCATTGCGTTGCTGATAGAATCCAAAAGCAAATATTCCAGATGGCGACAACCATGATGACGAGTTGCCTGTG